AAAAGTACCTCACAATGAGTAATTGATACAAGTTGGCTGATAATCATGCCAACTTCCTCACTCTCCCAGTAGAAAACTGTAGTACAAGAAACTTTCTATACTCTTTCCAGGGGTCTCCAGTAGGACTGTGCCAGCTGTCTAGTAAACTGTTCATTTATAAGCTGTGTATTACTTTCCTTCCCTTCCCAGTTTCAATTCTAATGTGTGCCTCTTGAGACAGTTACCCAAGAAACTATCTGTACTCCAATTCTTGCCTCCAGGTCTACTTCAGAGGAAATCCAACCTAAGACACACAGTCTAGGTTAAAAGGTGAAAGAGTCTAAATGTGTGTTCACTGGGTTGGTGCAATCCTGAGAAATCTCGTAACTTTCTTCTTAATCTTTACTTATAGATGACACTGCCTTTACTATGTTTCAAGTTAGTGAAACAGAACTGACCCTAAAGCCTATGACTTTTTGTGTCCATATTGTACCCATTTTCACATCTACCACCACATTCCTCTTCCAAATTCAAACAGATATATTTCAAGACACTTTTGCCAGCACAAAGCTAAAATTACTGTTTGATGAATACAGGTTACAAACAGCTAAGGACAATATACGTTCATTTGTCTTTTTTTTTTTTTTAGGTAACCTAAAGAAAATAATTTCCTTAAATATAAATTAATATAAAAATAATGCACTGCTACAAGAGAAAAACAGAAGTATAGCAGATAAAGCCAAAGCACCCACCCACTCATTTACTCTCTTACACCCATTTCTTTTCCCAAGTAACTTTATATTTCCATAATGCTTTCACTGCACTTATAAAAATAAAGCTATCATTTTTACATTAATAGCATTATGCTATAAATATTGTTGTGACTTGCTTTAAGCAAGTTATAATTTCTTTCCCACACAAACACAAATGCAACCATCTTCCCTAAAATCATAAAACAAATTAAGTTCATAAACCAAGGTATCACTGTACTTAAAAAAAAATTAACACTTAAACATATTTCTCTGGCTAACACTGGTTTCTTGCCTCACTGTCACACTGTTTTATTATGGTATTAGACAATTTTGGGTAAAAATTATAACTAAGAGATCTCCACTTCCAAAAATCTCTTCCTAAAGGCAACAATAACAAATAGGTCTAAATATACACAATCTCTTAACAATACCAATGATCTAACTGATAATGAGGCATTACAAACCAAGAAAGGGGAGCTACAGGTGGAAGGACTTAAACCACTTCCATAACTTCAACTCTAGGGAAGATAACTGCTCTGATGCAGTAACCCTCAGAGTCTAGCTTCACTTGGAAGACTGCTGAGTGTGCTAGCAGAGGTTCTGGGTCAGCAGATGGGTCAGCAGATCCATCTCTTAAAACTCCTAACAGCCCCCAGGTAATGACGGTGGTCTAAGAACCATACATTGAGTTCCATTCAAGACTAAAGACTGGGGACTGTTAGTCAATGATGAAAGGGTGTAGGAAACAGACCTGACACCAGAGATTGTGTGACATCAACTGCTCATCCCATCCTCCCCTTTTCTTCTTCACTTCTCAAAAGGATTGGGACTCACCACTGCTCTAGGCCAATTTTACCTGGGGTCATGCCAATCCTCAGGAAATAATTAAGATGCTACAGCTCTGATTTATATTGTAGATGTGGCGCTTCATGGGAAGGACTGCTTAATAAATGATACTGGAACAGACTTTCCATATGTGGACAAAAAAATCAAGTTGGATGCTACCTCAGTGCAATAACCACCATGAAAAAAAATTACTAAAAAGTGGATGAATGACTAAAATACGAAAGGTAAAACAATAAAGCTTTTAGGAGACAAAACAGATAATCTTGATGGTCTTACAGTAGGGAAGACTTCTTAAAACAAAACACTAACCAAATTAAGATCTGTTCATCAAGACACCATAAAAAAGGGCAAAAAAGAAAAGCTACAGAGTAGGAGCCAGTAACTACAATCCATTTACAATAAGGTCTAGAATCAAGAATACATGTTACTTATAATTTCTACAAATTAATGAAAAGAAGGCATTAATTCAGTAGAAAAACAAGGGGTGAAAATAAAGACATTAGAACAAACACTTCACCACTGGGGAAAATACCTAAGAGCCAATAAATACTCTGAAAGGAATTCAACCTTAAATATAGGTAGTTTCAGATTAGAATCATAAATGGCACTACATGGCTATTAAATTCCAAGAATCAAAAATATGACAATACCAAGTGTTGACAGTAGGATAAACTTTCATACACCAGGAAAACAGTATTAGATGGACTAGTTGACATATACCTATATTCTACTGACTCCTAGATATACAACCTAAGACTACTCTTCTGTGTGCCAGAATGTAAAAGAATGTTTAGTAAAATATTTTACAACAAGGGAAATAAATGGATTAAAGATAAATGTAACATGAATGAATTGTACAAAATAATACTGAGTGAAACATGCTCACACAAATACATACAATACCATTCTATAAAGTTCAAATTCAGGCAAACTGAATTCATATTGTTTTAGATCCTGCATACATTGGCAGTATAAAAAAAGTAAGGATATTACCACTATAAAAGTCAGAACATTGGTTAGTTGAAAAGGATAATCACATAAAAATAAGTGATGAGAAACTTGGGGGTGCTAATAATGTTCTATTTACATGTGAGCAGGTTTTACTAGTGTTTGTTGTACAAGTATATGTTAAACTGTATATATATTAATAATGTCATATTTTATACTTTAAAAATAAGATGTTAAAAAGCAAAACAAATATATTTGGCCCTGTAACCAAACTGATCTTATTGAAAAATTTCATTTCCAGAGAAATTCACAAAACCTCTTATACTTCGAATTTCCTCAATCAGAACACGGAGATAAGATATATATGCTATGTATGTGTATGTATCTATATTTTTATCTACATAGACATGTTTCATGGTTTAAAGAAGATACTTAATATATTGTAAATGTCCAATGGTGCCCAACTCAATAAATAGAAACATAAGATGTTCATTCAATGGAAGATTCAGTAACATTAATTTTTCTCCTCAAACTGAGTTACAGATAACCAAAATCCTATTTTTCATTAAAACTAAAAATAAAATTCTAAAAGTCATTGTTCTGCCATATTTATAAATACTGAGTTTGCTACAGGATGATCTATAGCATGCACTCTCAGTAAGAGAGGGGCAAAAACTGATTGTTGGTAGAAGGAGATGTAGTTTAAAAAAAACAAGGTATTTAGAACAGTTTGTGATCCTCAAAAGCTCAAGTCTACCTGACAAAATCTTATTCATTAGTATTTTTATTTCTTTCACTAGGAAGGAATTCAATTGTAGTTTAAATTCAATATTATCCTCTTAGATGTGTTAATACTGGAAAAGAGGTTGAGAAACACTGACTTATAATTTGTTCTGAAACAGCCAAATCCAATATGAGAGAAGAAAAAAGTAAATAATAACATCTTCGGAAATGGAAAAATTAGGCCATGATGTTTTCTGTGTATCAAGAAGAGCTTGACAGTGAAGGGAAAAGCAAATAGGGAGATGTTTCAGATTTTTCTGTAAATACAAATCCAAGCTAGGCTATCACATCTTGAACACAATTTTAGGAAAACATTTAGAGATGAGAAGAAAATGCTGTTACAAAAAATAACTGTAATGGCTTTAATTAATTAATTTTGTGGTGCTAGCAATGGAACCCAGGGCCTTGCATATCTGGGCAAGTGCTCTACCACTAAGCTACATCCTCAGCCCCAGATGTATTTTTTATACTCACACTTCAAATTCCCGTTCATCCTAAAATCTGTGCGATTTCCTCAAACAAATTCCTCTCCATCCTATTTGACTAGGAAATAGTAATGATGTCATGAGAAGTAAAACAACTTGGAGTTGCTCCATAGCATTAAGAAAATCAGTAGAACACAGGTGTTCCTGTTCCAAGTGCAAGTGTTTCTGACCCTTATTTACTGAGTATTCCTAAATTAAGAAGTTGATTCTGCAATTGATTTCTTCCACGTTTGTCTGTTTACTTATTTGTGGTACTGAGGGTTGCACCTATAGCAATGCACATGCTAGGCAAGCATTTTACCACTAAGCTACATCCTCAGTCCTTTTCATTTTTTTATTTAGAGGCAGGATCTCAATAAGATACTCAGGCTGGCCTTTAACTAGCCATCCTCCTGCTTTAGCTTCCAATAGCTAGGATTGCACTACAAGCATAGTTTTCCAAATTTATTAAAAATAATGAAGAAAGGGATAAATGAAACAGTTCCTAAAAAAACCTGAAAACAAATACATGTATTAAAAATTAATACATAAAAATTAGAAAGAAAAATCTTTGCTATAACAAAGATACATAAAATCAAGAACAGTTTAAGGATGGTGTTAATAAGAAAATGTACAGTTATGGCACTACGTTTTTAATGTGAAAGACAATTCAATAATATTTAAAACAAAACCTTCAAAACTAATTTTAAAACATTTGTTACAATATTACTAAGGGTTATTCATTAGTAATGTGGTAGAAAATCTAACTGAACAGTAAGGACAGTGATGTATGTTTTCATTCCATGAAGGTAAAAATTATTCTCCTCCCTTAAGAGTACACTCATTCACTCAACTCCTACTGAGGACCACTGCTTTGGGGAAATCATTAATTCAAATTCATCAAACTCCTATATTGTCATTTATCTAAATCAAGTAAGTTTTCTACCATGAGACCATACTTTATTAAGCACTAAAACTCAAAGATCTACACCATAACCATATAAACACTGACTATTACTAACTACAGTTTGCTAGGAACACCTTAAATAGCCTATCACCATGACCTTCAGTTGCCCAAAAAATAAATTTCTTGGATAACCCTTGCATATAAATAATTCTTGCATTCTAAAGTTCTGTAACCATATCAGGTATCTTATGTGCTTTATTTTTAAAGTTTTTAAATAAAAATTAACTCAAGTATCTACAAAAGCTGTACATTTTTACTTACATATTCAGGTTTTAGTTTTTTATCTCCTCCTCTCACAGCCACTTTTTCTAGCTTATCTATAATGGGCCCAATCATTTCTTCATCTTTAAGCTGAAGTTCTTCATGAATTATTTCTATATCTCGAATGGGATCTACACTTCCTTCAACATGGGTGATATCATCATCTTCAAAAGCACCTAAAATAAAAAGAAATTTAAAAACCAAATAATACAGGTCATTATGATTAGAGTGAGCAAATATTTCCAGAAGGTGAACAAATAGCTACCATGAATAAATTATTCCAAATTCTATGCAAGTAGGATACAGTGGTTTTCTTTTTCCTCATTTAGTAACACTTAGGACATTAGCAACAAAATAGCAGTTTAAGAGCCTCAATATTTCAAAAACTGACTGACATTAATAAAATTATGGTGTTTACAGCAAGGAAAAAGAAATGTTCCAGAACTACTAGCATTTCCAAGTTCAGTACATTAAAAGATACTGAATTCCAGGCATGAGAGTCTGAAGTTCTAAACTGCACTATTAGGGTTTCCAAGGGAAACCAGATTTGGGGAGGCGGGGGTTGAAGTCATCTGGCAGACCTCTTCCCTGCTTCAATCTACTTTATCACTGTGGCTCTGACGGTGATTAGATAATGAACCACTCAGACACACAATTTACACAGCAGCTAATTTCATCGGCCTGATTTGAGGGTATGGTTTTTCGGGGGCTATCAAAGAAGCAGATGAAGGTGCATTTGTCATATATGAGTGACAACCATTCACACTATCTGAACAAAATGGTGCTGGCCCTTATTAGAAACACATGCTATTATCACATATTTAAAGTGCAGTTGAAGCCATAATTTCAAATTGCCAACTGGAAACATAAGGGTAAAACAACCAGATATTACTGAAGCATGTGTACTGACTTTATGCCCTTTTGAAGACATAATGTGGCAACATAATTCAACTGGGATTTACTCAAATTACCAAAGAACAGTATTACTAAAAATGAACAAATACTAAGAAATATTATAAGCAGAAAGCAATGATATAGCCAGAAAATAAACACACTTATGAACAAATTAATTTCATTTAAATTAATAATTAAAATTTCCCTATATTTTCAACAAAAGTATCAATTATTTTAGTGAGATGTTCACAGAAATCATGAGATTTTGCTAGGATAGTGAATAAAGCTAATTTTTGATACCAAAGACTAAAACATTCTTGTTACATGTTACAAAGAATTTTAAAATATACTTTCCCACAATTAAAAATACCCTGCATCTTAACATAGGTTATTCAGCAGTAATAAAAAATTTAAGTATATGATCACAATTAAGATATAAATAATATTGAAGTATCTCTGGCATACAACTGATGTCAAATTTAGATGAACAAATTAACAAGAAATAAAGACATATACTATATTTCACTAATAAACACAATAAACAGATAAACCTGCCCTCCTGGGAAGCACAATATTGTTTACTTCTTGTTAGGATTTGAGACATCTTGTACAAATGACATGGTAATATAGGAAAATAAAAATAAAAGCTTTCTAGAAGTCAGAGCAACACAAATGATGTTATAGAGAAAAATTAAGCTTTCTATGACATTTAGTATGAAAAATATCCTGTATAGCTACAGGTGCCAATGATGTGATATCAACATTTGTAAACACATTTAGCAAGTTTTAAATGGTAATTTCTCATTTATAACACTAAATTTAACCAAGTGGATAAGACAAATTTAGTAATGTAAATTCTTTTGGAAGCATTGGAATTGTGTTTATTTACACTTCTTCATCGGTTTTGTCTCAAAAACTTTTTTGTAATGAACATGGATTGTTTTTACCACTGTTTTATATTATTTATACAAGCCCTTGCTCCCCTCTCCATCACCTCCTCTTCTTCAGATGTGGAGATTAAATCCAGAGGCTGCTGAGCTACATTCCCATCACTTTCTGTGTTGATTTTCTTTATTATTTTTTTGTTTTTTGTTTTTTTTCCAGTACCAGGAATTGAACTCACAATGTCGCGCTTACCAGGCAGGAGCTGTGGCACTGAGCTAAATCCCCGGCCCCCCGCCAGCCCTCTGTATTGATTTTGAAACGAGGTCTCACTTAAATTGCCCAACCTGGCCTCGGGACTTTCGGGACTTTCGAGCCTTCTGCTTCAGCCTCTAGAGTAGCTGGGATTACAAGTGTGCACTGATATACCCAGCACAAACCATTTTTGATTCAACACAAGTTTATTTTCAGAAAATTGTACATAAATTTTTGTTAAAATCTTGATTTTGCAGTAACTAACCACAAGGAGAAAATCATTATTACCACAAACATTATTTTGTACCTTATCATTTACATACATATGAATATTAACTAACTATAGTAAAGCTTTCTTTTTCAAATTTTTATAAAATAAAATTAACCATAAACTAAGTTTGTGGCTTCCATGACAAAGATTTTTTCATTTAAAAAATTTTTTATTTGTACATTGTGAGTATATTTATTGTGAGGAGGTGGTACACGTACACAACATCTCAATGCTTTTTCATTCCTTGGCCCTCCCAACCATCCTGCTCCTTCCCATTTGCAAAAGTTCTATTTCCGTTGTTTCCTTTCAATTCTTCCTTTGTGGATCCCCTCTCCCTTTCCTCCCTCCATCTCCTATTCCCCTTCTCTTTTGAAAAAGATCTCCCTAATTCCTATTATCTTTTATTTTGCTCTATTTATCTCACAAAGATTTCTTACCCAGCAATCCTACCATGTTTTCCTTTCACAACAAAGTATGTCTGCTTTTTGAAACTTAACTTCTCTCAAATTTCTTATGCTTTTTCCGTCTCTCCCGATACCTGGCAGATAACCTACCCTTTCTCACTTCACAGGGAAAACACGTATATCTGTAGAGAACCAAACCTTTCTTTTAATTTTATTCAGCCTTTGTTTCTTCTCAGCAGTAAAAGGGAAAACATCATCTACTACTCCTGGTCAATCTATCCTCTCCGTTCTGGAACCTATTCCCTCCCATGAAGTTTGCTCTACAGATTGTTTATTTCCTAAGACCTCAATCTACTATGTCTGTCTCACCTAATATTTGTATCACCTGTTTCTACTAATACTTGCCCATCAAAATTTGAATAGACTTATAACTCTGCATTAAATCCATTACCTCAGTCACCCCTGAACATTAATTCCTACACCAATTACTGCTTTCTTTCCTCCAGTTCAGAGCTAAACTTTTTGAAAGGGCTGTCTACCCTGCTTTTTGTAATTCTTTACCTATTAGAAGTTAACCCACCCCAGTCTGGCACATACCTCCACTATGTTACCAGAAATCTATCTTAAAAGAACCCACAGCCATTCTTTAGAAATGACTGATTGTTCAGTAGCTGCAGAGCACTGAAAGCCTCTTTCACTGCATGTTTCTAACTACATTCTCCTATCTTCTATTTTCTTTAGTCATTCATTCTCAGATCTCCCTCTCTTCCTTCTAGCCAGGCTGAGACTCAAACTGTAGGACCTCACTAGTGCTCTGGAAGCACTCTACCACTAAGCTACACTCTCAGTCCCTAAGACAATCCTTTTCTTGCTGTAACTCTCCTATAAATGTTGATGTTTCCCTTAGAGTACTTATCCTTCTTTTACCTCCCAATAATAAAATCTCCAACCCAAAACAGTCCTAAGTGGTTCTGGTATATTTTGAGGCAACAACAAATAAAATGAATCCAAAATATCTTTTTAGTTATATAAATCATTTCTAATCAAAATTTATTTACTAAATGAATAAATGCAAAATATCAATGTTTATACTAATGTTGTGGCTTTGACAGTTTACCTAACCATCTTTGTAGAGGTCATTAACTTTGTAAATAACATTTATGTGCCCATATGCCACTGGATATTCTGTAGAATATTACTTGGTATGATGTGGCAGAAATGATGAGTTGGCTATTCTCAATGATAACAAGTTACTGAAGACTGATCAATTTATTCATTCACACAAAGCCTACCTTATTCAATAAACATTTGAGTATGAAGGATAAACCTCTATTTTGTTTAGATGTTAAATCTAACTGTGAAGAACTTGAGAAATAAAAATCTACTTTGGAAATTCAGGACTTCAGAGAACTGCTTTGCTATACTACATCTTACATTTGGGTTGTATTCAGTTTTCACAAGCAAAGAATCCTTAGCCAGCTACTAGAAGTCAATTTTAAAACACCTGATGTATTGAAGAGTACACACTTCATAGCAACACATTTATTTTTTATTTTCTTTTAATTTTTTTTAGGTCATGTAATATATGATCATATTCATAAGGAATTTATTTAAACCTGTACATAATATATCATAATAATTCTATTTTTCCCATTCCCCTCTCCTCCCTTGGTTTTTTGAAATAGGCCCTTATTACGCAGCCCAGGCTGGCCTTGAATTCACAGCAATTCTTCTGCATCAGCTTCCCGAGTGCTGGGATTATAGGTATGCACTAGCAGGCCCAGCCACAGCAATCTTTGTAAACCATCTGTCATGGAAATCTTAATATCCCACATAACATGTCTAGAGTTTTCTTTACAGTATGAGGGTATGTCCATTTCTATGGAATGTAAGATGGACTTACTTATGCTTTTTCTACCCTCTACCACTTAAGTAATGTAGAGATAAAGAATTCTTTGCTATACACACTGCTACCCTTTTAACATGTTTATAAATCACAGTATATATGCCTTGCTACATTTAAGTTCCTCAATTGGGGTAAAAAAAAAAAAAGCTCCTTTGTTTATCTACCTGTGTGTTAAATCTGTAAGGATCAAAAACAAAAATCAACAAAATTTTGGTCTTTTTTTTTTTTTTGAGATAGGGTCTTGCTGTGCAGTCTAGGCCTTAAACTCACAATCTTCCCGATAGGCCTCTCCAGTGTTGGGATTACAAGCATGCACTATAACACCCAGTTGGATTTGGACTTGGTAACTGTACTGTCTAGTTGGAAAAACAAACTAGTGTATTAAAAAAGAACACTAAAAAGAACCTTAAATATAAGTATAATTAATAACAGGTAACCAGCAAGACATTTAAAAATAAAAACATATAAGTAAAGAAGCTGAAGTACATGTCAAGTAACAGGGAAAAGCATCAGATAAAAGAAATAAAAGGATGAAATGAACAAAGCTTACTGGAAAGTTGACCA